GCTGGGATTACCGGCGTGAGCCACCGCGCCCGGCCTAGTGTTTTACTTTTTTAAAATTATAAAATAAGACATGCTTTTTATGTCTGGAAATTAAAGAAGAAAATTAAAATGAAATATTATCCATAATCCCACCATCCAGAGGAACCACTGTATCCGTTGTAGTTTCCTTCGTGTTAGTCTTCTATGCACGTGTATTTTTTTTGTTTTAAAAAATTGAAATCATACTGTTTTCTTTTTTAGGACTTGTAAAAATTCTGTGTCATGTTTTAAGTATTATTTAGAAACATGCTTATGAGTGGCTGTGTCCCCTCATCTGAGTGTGTTCGAGATACAGAGGGGAACTTGCTACCAGCTTTCCTGGCAGGCGTGTGCGCCATTCATGCAAACAGTGTACTTTACCCGGCCCACGTAAACTAACCTTACGTGTTTGTTCTCTCTCTAGATTGTTAGGAATGGCTTGTTCCTAAGTGTGAATGTAAGATGAGAACTGGGGAAGCGCGTGCCTGCCGTATAACCAGCTCTCTGTCACTGTTCCTCGGGGGGCATTCACACCTGTGTACCCGGCTGTCCTCTCTACTTTCTCTCACCCTGGTTCTGGGCCCCGGTGCAGCTCCCCGACTCTGCCCGCCTGTCCACCCGAAAGCCCGGGGAGGTTACTGGACTCTCTCGCTGAGGCTCCACTGCTGTGCTCACTTCCTCCCGTTTCAGTACCACCTGCAGCCCTCCTGAGCCTCTTTTCTGTGGCAGGTGATCACTGATCCTTCACGAAGCGTCAGGACCCCCACTCACCTCCACCTGGGCCTCGCTTCTGTGGCTGCCTCTGCCTTCCCCCAGGCGGGGGCTCCGTCTCCCAGCAACCGCCTGCTCCTCCCGCTCTCCCTGCCCGCTGGCGTCCCCCTGTTCTATGGTCCTTCCCTCTTGGACTGACCAGCCCCCTCTCCTCTGTCCTCATGCCACCTCCCCTCATCAGAGTCCTGCCCTCTGGACATCACCTGCTCTAATGTCGACCTCAGGTGTGCGTTTCCTCTCCCTTCACTCTGTCTCCACCTGGCCACCCGCTTTTCTTGGCTCCCTCCGCCCAGTGTCCCAAGCTCCTGGACAAGGACAGCACCCCCAGTCCTGCCCCAGCACGTGCAGTTCCTTGCTGCCATTGCAGGAGGAGCGCTCCGTGTTCTACTGGATGACTCTGTTTCCTTTAGAAAGTTGCTCACGGTCACTGACACACAGCCACACACAGCCAGTAAGGCACACGTTGTCAACGACTATAGAGTTGTAGGTGTTTATATTTTTAGAATATACTAAACCTAAATACAGGTCAGAGTCTTCCCCCATGAAAACTATTTTTAACTCATTTGCTAGTAGTTTGTGTAGTTCAGAAGACATAACCATATGCGCACCGTAATCTAGAATTCATGCCGCGATTAGGGTAGAAAAAATGAGTTATTACTTACTACTATACTGCAATTAGGGGCAAGGGGAGAATATCAGTCCCTTCTCATTCAGGAAGGTTTTCTGTGCCACACGGTGCTCCAGCTAACAAAAGCAACTGTCTGAAGTCCCAGCGGTGGAAATTCAGTTTGCATCTCCTCCGCTGCCTCCACATCCCCAACGTGTGTTTGCATGTTTCCTTCAGAGGGAGAGACACAAGCTGAACCCTAACAGAAACCAGCAAGTAAATGTGAGAAAAGTCAGAACGAGGAAAGAAGAGTGGGAGAGAAGGAAAATGGGCATTGAGTTTATGAGTGACGCGAGGAACCTGGAGCAGGCAGGGAGCGCGAAAGAGGACGGGATGCCCAGAGGGTTTGTCGTTTTGCTTTCTTTGGCTTCCCAGCCTCAGGCCACCCCCGCTTCAGCCGTCGCGAGAGGATGTGCAGCCCCTACTGACAACCCATCCTGTAACCCGGGCCAGGCGCGCGTGACCGTTACTAACGCCTGGCACTGTGCGGCTGCCACACGCAGGCCCTGGCTCTGCCCCCGAGGGTGTGGCTGGAGCCAGCACCCCACAGCTTCCCGAGCTCTGCGCACTAATACGAGAGTCCCATTTCTTTCAGAGTTCACGCTCAGCTGCGCGTGCAAGGAAGGCAGGGGGAAGCAGGCCTTTCCCTAGCGCACCCACGACTGCTTTCTCTTTTGGTTAAATACACTTTCTCTGTTTGAGAAAAATATGATTCACTGTACTGCATTCTCATGTTCTTTTTCTGTTCTTACCATTAATATTTATCCAGTTCACCTGACATTTTATATTTTCTAATTATATGCTGTCAGTTTCATTGCCACTGAAATCCTGTCTGTCTTAGATGCTGTTTCTAAATTAAATGGAATTTCTCTTGTAGCTTTCTCTCTTAGAGAAAAAGAATGCAGAAATATCGCGAAAATGAGGCTGTGCTGTTTCCTGCTTGCCGATCTGTCTGACTTATTCACTTCCAAGCTGTGACTCTGAATCCATGTAACACTGGGGCTTGCTGCTAAAATAGTAATTGTGTTGTTGCTCGGAAGCTCTCATGGGGCTAGACCTAGTTGAAAGTAAAGGAAATAAATGTCTGATTTCTGTGCATTGGCAATGTTATTATTTAAATGCACGTTTATGCTTGTTAGAAAAATTTTTTAACTTAAATGTCTCCCACCCCTTTTTCTGGAACGTCAGGTCCCACGCATCGGATGTTACGGATTACTCCTATCCAGCTACGCCCAACCATTCTCTGCACCCCCAGCCAGCGACCCCTTCGTACGCAGCAACTGGTGATGCGCCTCCGCACGGACCTGCGAGCCAGGCTCCCGAGCACGAGTACCGGCCGCCCTCCGCCTCGGCGAGGCACATGGCCCTCAACAGACCCCAGCAGCCGCCGCCCCCGCCTCCCCCGCAGGCCCCAGAGGGGTCCCAGGCCTCCGCGCCGATGGCTCCAGCCGACTACGGGTATTGTACTCTAATCCCTGGTGCCTCTTGCATTTGAATCTTGCCGTGTGAGGTAGAAGAATATTAAACTTTGATATTTTAGAGGCCAGAATATCGTCAAGAATGGCTGACACGGATACTATTGGTTCTGCCAGATTCCGTGTTGAATATAGCAGGTGCAGAATCCTGCTGCTCCCCGTTCTCGGGGGTGTGTCTGCTCATGTGTACACACTCCCTTTATACACTGACGTCTGTGGGTTTGAGTGGCTCTGTAAGCCAAGGCATGGATACAGGAGGAAATGCCAGTTTCGCAAACCCGTCCCAAACCCTTACGCGTCTCTACACATCCTGGGTATATCACAGAGAATTCCCAGCATGGATGGGAAGACCATGTAGGGCAGCTCCCGTGGGGTGGCCATATGCTCTCCTTTCTTGACCTCTTGGCACACAGACATCATTCTGCCCGCTGTCTGGCAGGCAGAAATCAGACACCTCCTAAGATCAATCCAGGCACCCACCTTTATTTTGATAGGCAGGCTCTAGCTCTCTCTTTTTTTGGCATAACCCTAAAGGGTTTGTCCCCGCAGGGTCGGTGCCCAGGAAAGTTGCACGTGCACCCGTGTCAACGTGTGTACTCTGCCACCCAGACCCACGCGTCCCTTACCACTTGTCTCCCTCACTGCCCAATCCTGGAGGTTTCCCACCTGCTGGTCTCTCGAAGTCAGGCTTCCCAGGGTGTGTTTTGAGGCTGTGCCAGGCAAAGAGAGTCCAGTGGTTTGGAAAGTGGTCCAGTTGGTTTGGAAAACCCTTGGCTGAATAGAAGTCAGCAGATTTCTTGGCTGTGTGACTTTTCAAAGCTTTTTTTTTTTTTTTTTAAATCACATCATGAAATTTTTATTCCAGGTGCATCAGTACTCATTGTATTTCATATCATAAAGTGTTTAATGTTTTCTACCTCTTATTAACAAAAGAATTAAAATTGTATGCTGGCTGCTGAGTTAGAACATTTTATATATATATA